GTTGAAAATCAAACAAAAGGAAACATATCCAATTTTAAATTTTATTTCTTTCACTTTTTGTCTTCAATATTACACCAGACCCTCCCCCTTTGAAATAAACTGGTTACTATGGAGACAGTGATAACTGCTATATAGTAACGCTCACACCGTAATCAGGGTACCTTATGTTTTATAATTTATTCCATAATTTTCTTCTTATTCCAGAATTAACAGTTTTAATTATAGTTTTCAGAAACAACGTTAGAAATTAAGTAAAAAATAATTCATTGTAAAATTCACATAAACAATAGCAGACTCAAAATCATCATACATTATGAAATAAATATGTATTTATTAAATAGTAGGCTTTTATTGGTTGATTTGTCATTACCCAAGGCCATATGTATTTTGGTGGGAAATAGAAAAATCTAATTACTTTACTTTTCACAAACATAAATATGAATCAGAACATCCTATGTGTCCATCAATAAATGGAGAAAAGTAAAGGCAGGCATAAAATGAAGAAGCCAAAAAGTATGTTAGCATTTTTCCCTTTCTGCCTTATAAAGGGATGGGGGGAGAGAAGCTGTATCATAAGGAGAGGCCAATCTTTTTTTCTTCACTGCTCACTCATCTCATTCCAATACCCAGTTTTTAACCTGGTTATGATCTAATTCTGTACTCTTGGTAGGCTAGGATTCAATTGAGTTAAAGATTTTTAAACTCACTGCCAGTCAACCTTATCATGAACTTTCATTATGTGCATGTAATTAATCGGGTCCAATGAACAATATCAGCACTGAGTTATAGACTTCTCCCCCCCACCATATAATTAGAATATAATTACCCACAGGATATCAGAATGATGCAAAACCTTTCCTCTAAATGTGCCCTCATTAGGAAACAAGTCTCAATGTACATTTATTCAATCAGTATGAATTAATTAAAACGTTACCGAAATAAAAGAGAGTAACATTAAAGTGTATCTGACATCTATTAAAAGACTATCACTTGAGATCTGCACACACAGTTTATAACATAACTCATTTAACTTGAACAAAAAACTTCACTGTACAACAAGCCTTATATACGGTAAATAGAGAAGTAAAAAGGACTAGTTTTAAAGTTGACAGACTACATTTTACTAAAACATTTAAAAGTATTGCAGTGAAACATCTTTATATGGCATTGAATCTAACCAAATATGTGACTCTTTTATGATATACACAGTATCAACTGCATGAGCTTCCCCATGGTTTCTTTTTCAGCTGAGAATGTAGCTCATCATATTTAGGAATAACATTTAACAAGTTCCGTTTTGTGCAGTTTTGAAGATGGGAGCCCTCTTATGTAACCTAGACCAGTCACCTAACTTTCAGATGACCAGGCATATAGGGTTCTCTCTCCAGCCATGAAGAGAAGGGACAGTATGAGAGGATCACGCCAGTCACTCTGTTTTAGAGGAATCTCTCTTGTGTCTAAAGAGACCCTAAATGAGTCATTTAGAACAGTCACCTGAGCTGAGATGACTATGTTTAGGGGGGAGAGAAATGTCACCCTTTGTGATATTACCATGAGGAAGGGTAGGGTTTTTATTTATTCTTCACAGTTGCAACAGTGATTTTGGGTGTCAATGGATACATAGGAAATGTAAAAACTGAGGGGATAGGGACCTGAACAACAAATTGCAGCTGACAGACCAGTTTGGTAGCTCTGGTGTAACACGTGGTGCTGTGAAATGCAATTTATGAAAAAATTCCCTTTATCTCTGCAGAAAGAGTTGAGGCTGGACTTCGCAAGAACTGAAGAAATGAGATATGCTGCATGATAGAGGTAAAAATATGAATGCCCTTAGCTCCTCAAAAGAGAATAAATGAGAAGGGATTTTGCCTGTACTCTTGAAGGAGAACTGATGAGAAGGCATCTTGGTCTAAGATGAAGTCTGACAGTTTTCTGGAAGAAGTCTGGACTACCAAAGTTACAAATGGAAGGGAGGGCCAAAACTCATGGGAGATCAAAGATTTTTCAACTTGCTATTTTCCCACAACTCCTATAATTTGTTCTATGGGAGAACGAGATACGTTCTTCTCCGATACCTCAAAATACTCAAGAATAAACCTGGCATAGAAAGCATTGTGGTTATCCGCTCTTCTTTGCCTTCTGCATATATACATAACATTGCAAGAATATTATTGCTCAGCTGATCACTGAAGCTAAATGTGTGTCCTAGGTGAAAGATCCTTCTGCTGTCAGGCATATCAGATTTGATATGTCTGAACACATCATTTCTATTAACAGACACACTTACTGTTGTATCTCTAGAAAATTTTGACACGGATATATTCATTGTTTTTGCTGTCGTTATTAGAGAGTGCTGGTTTCACATACACTGAAGTATTATGTTTCTCAAAAGGAATCCCCGTAACAGGAAATGGGAGAAACTAATTAAAAAATTACTAAGATAAATAATATGTACACCGTAATCAATCGTTTCTAGGAGGAATTCCTATTAGCTAGGTTGCTGATCTATTATTTGTAACATAAGTATACTCAGGATTTTAATGCATTTTTAGAAGAAACTATGTGATGAACAAATATACTATGAAATTATAAAGTTCCCATTAAATCACAGTAAAATATATTTTCCAATCCTAACAATATACATTGTGCTGAAATACACGTTTTATGTTACATTATTAGTATGTAATACTGAAACATGATCCTGATACAGGAAAACAGATTTACTTCTGCTTATGCCTTCAAAATTTGCAGATAAAACAAACATATTCAAGGGTGATTTGACTCTAGAGTGGTTTTATATATCCTCTAAACAACTTAACTAAACTCCAATTGTGGAATGAAAATCTTAATTCCTCTATCCTTCTTCCTCTCCTGAAAAGGAAATGGAGTTACGCAAATGTAATTGAAGATGAAATTTCTTGCTGAGGCTTTATTCAGTTTGTAAGAACGGCGAACAATAAATAACAATAAAACAAAACAGTCCAATAACAATATCATAATTTCTGCATGTTAAATTTTAAAGTATGACCTAAAATCCTGACAATTAAATAATGTAATGCAGAATGTAATCATTCAACAAACTTGTATTTTCCAATTATTCAGAATTTGTCCAGGTAATATCAAAATACTATTACAGGCAAACAACAAAAATACTCTTATGACTTTTCAAAAATATTAAACCATATTTCATAAATATTAAAGCCAGGTTTCCATTGCTTTACCTTCACTGACAGCAATGGAATAGTCCCAGTTTACTCAAGTAGAGGGCCAAAGTCTAGCATCCATCCCTTAGCAGATTTATAAACAAACAGCCAAAAGGATTAATCAGAAAGCAAGTAATTTACAATAGGCATGAATACTATTCTTAATGATCAGAAACAGTTTTAAGATTAGAAGGTATATTTTCTTGGTTTTCCTCCCTGCAATAAATCATTCTTTCTTAAGTTCAAGCATTTCTTACTCTTATTATGAAATGTATTTAAAGTAACCAGCCCACACATCTATTCTGTTATGAATATGATGATGCTATGACTTCCATCAGCATAAAACATCCAATTTAATATATGAATACGTAAGTTAATTCCAAAGCTCTTTTTTCATGATAAACTGGTCAGCTCTTTTCTATAAAACCTACACATAGCATGCGTTTTTATTTTCATTGAATTGAGTTACTGTTTTTGTGGACAGAGAAATTTACTGTCCACGACTGCAGAATAAAATATACCATAATGTTGATGCATAGCTTACTGCAAGACCAGTGTCATCATTCTAGGTAACCTCCGGCTTAGATCAGAGACCTCAGCATTGCAGATATACAATATGCATCCCAAGCAAAAACTGTCCATAAGAATAACTTCATTATTCTGGGAAGCTGGATCTATAAAAGATGTAAAATGTAGAAGTGTTCTGCCTATACAGTTTCTGGTAAGTACAGTCTGAGTAAGTGATAAAACCTGAGTCAGCTTCAGTTATAGTATGCCCTACAGAAAGTCCATTCTCACATGAAGGAAAATGCAATAGGCAGAGGACAAAGCACACTTGTGCCTATAAACTCATCAGCTAGGATTATCCACTGTGTTTAAGGTTCGCACAGTTCCGTGAATTTAACGAATGCTCTGGCAGTCAGTCCCAACATCGTTTTAGCCGTTACTTATGACAGAGGATTACATCTGAAATAAACTACAGACAACTCACCAATACTACTGGGCAGATTGATGTGGGTGGTAAAATATGGTCCTTCAAAGGTCCACAGTCACATTCAGGTTTTAGATGTGAAGCACATTTGTTATGCAACTACAGGAAGACAGAAAATGAAAATACAACTCAGACATTTTACAACTACAGTCTAAGAAAATGGGCATCCTAGAATGGGGTGAGTTTAATTAACATAATTATTACTAGAGTACTACAATGAAAATGAAACGCACTGCAGTGGAAAGCCTCTTTGGATTGCCAAAACCAATGAATTTATATTGAGGCAAAGAACAGCGGATCAAAGTATTTTCCAGTTTAAAAACTGCACATGTGGTCCAGCACACAAAAAGAGAACATTGCATGGCAGTACAGCAATATCAGCATAGTGTTATTGGTGATCAAAACCTTCATTTCAGAAGACAGCTTCTTGCACTGAGCCAGGAACTTCTGTTTTACTACTAGTGGGCAATCTGGGGTAATTCAGGGGAGCCTTTGGCATGACTGGTATAACTCTGCTTCCTACCTGAAGCTGATAAAGTCACTACCGAGTCAATTGTGATGCTGCAATATCTATGAAAATATATATGAAATATAAGAGAATGATGGAGGAATATCTAAGAGCTTTAAGCTATATTACGGAAATTTTGGTCTTGTTTGAATCAATATTCAGGCTTCCATTGACTGCTGAGGAACCTGAATTACTCTCCTTTTTCTACTTTATTCTTAGCTTCATCCATTTTTCTTGAAAGCAATGAAAAGAGTTCCACTCTGAAAACATGGAAAGAATATCCTCAAGTCTGCTGACTGAAAGAGCTGTGGCTTACTTCTGTATTGTTAAAAAGGTGGAAGGGAAAAATGTGCATACAACATCAACATAAAATGCCAACAAATAATGATGTATTTATTGCAATATTTTGCAACAGCAATCAAGAGTTCTTCTTGTTATTTTAGGATTTAACTCAATTCAAATGTCTCTAAATGGAATATTTCAACATATATATCCAGCCACAAAGTACAAAGGCACAGTTGTGTGCCTGCATCATGCAAAGCATTCACATTTAATTAGTATACTCCTCAATATTATTAGATAGCCACAATAAAATACAACATCATATCGTAAAATTTGGTGAAAGTTTATTATTTTGGACTCAATGATCTTAAAGGTCTTTTCCAACCTAAATTATTCTATGATCCTTTTTCTGCATTGATTCAATAAACTGTGCATTAAGTTCTTCAGGTAACATGCATTTCCCATAGAGATTAGTATTTTATTTTTTGAGAAGATATGAGTATTTGCATTAAAGAAAAATAATCAGGATAATAAATACCATAAATTTTGAAGTAAAAATCTTATTTAACAAGTGATTTAACTGGTGTAATAGGCAGCATACAGCAGTAGTTCAACAGGTTCAATAGCTGTTATAAAATCTGTAGTTCAATGTCTGCATCTGTAAATCACATTTTTCCAAAGACTGATTCATTCTCCCTTAGATGATTTAACTATGTCAGTATGAACTCTGTTAAAATTACAATAAAATTGTACCAGTTGCTGATGTATATAAGTTTTACCGGTAATACGGTCTTCATAAAGTTATCTGGTACAGTTAATGTTGACATAACATTTCTGAATTTTGAACTGAATGGCACCTAATATTAGCCTTGTCTATATTCATTTATACTGCAAAGTTACCTTTTCAGGCAGTTACTTAGCAACAGAAAATAAAAGTCTAACGAGTTTCGATTTACTCTGAGTATTAAAGCCTTATTGTGAGGGTATTTTGGTAGCCCTGTAATCTAAATCATTTGTCATGCTAATTCTCTGCCTCAGTGGTAAGGCTACTTGTACCATAATTAATGCACACCAGGCCATGTTACATCAAATAAAAGTATCTTCTCACATCCAGTAGTAATTAGCAGCTTTGCTACTCGGTGGCATGCAAACTTATCCATGAAAAAAAAAAAAAGCTTAATCTTCTTATTAGTCTCTGCTGATCTTTGACAACAGAATTGGTACATAGCAGACAACAGAAATGGTAGAAGATATGTAGCTTTAATGAAAATAACACTTTGACATGATGAAATAAAATAATATGCATCTCTTCTCAAAAAAATGTTTTATCTGATTTTAAATACGTTTCCCCAAAACTACTTTACCCCAAACCTAGCTCCTTTAGAATATTGCCTCCCTCGCAACCAGATGCCTGCCAAGTAGGAAAAACCATATTTGCTGGAGAGAAAATGAGGAAAAAAACACTTACAAGACCATGGTAGAGAACTACAGAGTATATGGAAGAGGGAATCATAGGCCTGGCTGAGAACTCAGTATAACAAGACTCCTTAGTGAAAAATATCTCTAAATTTCAGGATTTGACTCAGTTATTTGACATTAGAAGTGACCCTATTAAGTTGTAAGAAGGAGAGATATTTAAAATTCATGAAAGAGGCTCAGAATTAGTTGCGTAATAACTGGCATCCTCTTACATTACAAAAATATGTCAGCAACAAGCCCTAAACATGTTGTTGTACGAGGAGTTGAAAATGTATGAAGGATGTGATGATAATTATATAACTTCAGAATATCCGTTCAAAAATCAATTATCTGTTAGAACTTTAAAACACCATTTTTTCAGTAATAAAGAAAGTTATTACTATTAGCAAAGAAACTTATTGCAATAGACTATATAGAACACACAGAATTGCAGAGAAGTGAATAGGAGACTGAAAAACAAGTAATTTGCAGTATTTTTAGAAGTTTAAAAATACTTATTTTTCACTTATGTGTCTAATTTACACCTGAAGCCGTAAAAATTAAATAAAAAGATTAATAAAGTTACTTGGAAAATACAGCTTTACTTTTACAGAAAATAAAAAAATCCTTAAATTACCGATAGAATTACAACTGCAAAATTGTAAACCTCAGTGCTAACATTTTCAATTTTGGCTGTCAAAAAACATAGGCCAATTTTTAATTGGAATCTTGATAGATATTTAAGCATTTAAATATGCATGCAAGCACCTAAAATATTTTCAAAAGAATTTAGCCTCTTCCTTCAGTGATTTTAATGGTAGACATTCCTCGGTATTTCCTTAGTGAATATCAGTTCTTATCGAAGTCCTCTAAATCTTGATGCTTATCTTCAAGAAGTAAAAGACCTTTACAAATCTGGTCCAGATTCACATGAAATAATGGGAAAATAATTTTTCTGAGCAGCTACAGAATTTGCAACTTCCTTTGACTTCAGGAGGAAGCCTTACATAATATGGATTTCTTGAATGACATACACATATTATACAGATGTAACCACTTCTGTATCTAGAGTGGAACACTCGTATTTATGTATCTAAACACAGATAGCCATTGCTTAAATTTAATTATCTGCATACAAAAATTCTGGATCGGGTGTTTTGCTCTCTACATAAATTATCCAAATTTTGACAGCAATCTGGACTACATGTTTGCTTTCTTCTAAAATATTTTTTTTTTTAAGTAATCATAACAGCTTATCACTAAAAGTATCCTGGATCTATTTTCTTTGATGATGTTTCATATTTTGTATTCTTGTGTTAAGAAAATATGTCATAAAACATCCAAACTTGTATGTTGAAAACAAACATTCACTAATGCCTCAGCCTCATATTATTATTTAAAACATTGAACAAACAACTGCTGTTCCATAACAATAACAATAATAATAATGGTATCAGCAAAAAAGCAAAAACCCTAGAAGAAGGCTGAATCTCTCCCCATTTAGATTTAAATCCTGCCCTGGCTAGGAACAGAAATACTGGCATTGCTCCTTCTAGCATGAAGATCTCACTTATAAGGGCAGTGTTCCTTGAATGTCATTAGTTCCAGTTATTG